CTGGAAGCTAAGCGCTGCGGCTTCATTTCGGTTTCTGTCTGAAGCGTGGGCAGGGAGGGTGCGTGTTCTGGGGACTCGGATGTGCTTTTATAAATAGAAATCGGTAGGGAATTGCTTGAAATATAACGTGGGAACTTACGTAGAAATTTAACTTACATATTGCTGCCCAACCCGGGTATGTTTTCTGATTTCTGTCATATGAAGACTAATCCCTGTGGCTTTTAACAAATAGCTCCCCCCGTTTATATTAAAACACAGTGATTATCATCTTGATCACTGAGCATCGTATTTGAGGTGGCACATGGCTGTTACATCTAAAGGAAAAAAACCCTATTGATTCTATCCTGTTACAGATGGAGAACATAAAAAATCTGTGCATGTGAGGTAACTGCTGACATCCAAGATGAGTCGCGGGCCTCTTTTTCCTCCTTTTTGTATTGACTGCTGTTCATTTAAGAAACAAAATAGCTGAAAAAATTCTCAGATTTCTTTTATATAATTCATGAAGTGTAAGCACTGACAGCTTACGTTCGTTTTGTGTACTTAAATAACAATTTCTCTTCATAGCTTATTTATTTGCCTCTGAATGTAACTTGTTCTATGGAGACGTGTTTCAGATGTGAAGACCATATTTACAGTACAATAAAATAGGATTCTAAAAGTTCCAAAATGGGTGCTTTGCTTAAAAAATAAAAAACCCCAACAAATCAGCACTTCAGGGTTATTTGAAGACCCTTGCACACTCACAGATTCAAACAGTTTGTAACATGTCTGTTTAAAAAACAGTAATGGTTGCATTTGAATCTAGTATTAGGATTCAGATGCTGGTCTTACAGAACGAACTGTTAATTATTTGGTTTTGTTTTCCTGAATGTCTCAACTTTTATTCACCAGCTCTGACGCTCATAAAAATGTCGAGGTCATCCTTGTTGAGTTGTTAGTATGAACGTTGCTCCAACCAGAAAAAATGTAACACTAGTGGGTTAAAAAGGGTTAGTGCATTTACCTTGCAACAGCCTCCATGCTGAAATGAGCTTGAATGTGTAAGGCTCTATGTGCGTTTACAACTTTTCTACCTGATCAGAAAGTTTCCCTCTGATGCTTCAAATGTCTACAGCTTCTCCCGTGGTATCTGGTGGTTGTCAGCCACTGAAGGATGCAGTAGCTTTGATAAACACCAGAGTGCTTATCAAAGTTATGGACTAATAGAGTTAACTCTTATGGTTGCTTTTGGGTGGCTGGTAGTGTCACATGAAGTATAACCATATTGTGTGCTGGGTTCTGCTCACACGTGAAGAGACACCCATGCCTGCCCTGAGGAGTTAACAGTCCAAGATCAGCAGCATATAAAGGCCAGGGGAACAGATGTGCCCTATCCATCAATAAGATTTTCACATGTGTTATTTGTATATGTTTGTTTTATGACTAAATACGCTCTGACTGTCTCCATGCCCTATTCTACCCATTGCTAGTAGTCTTTGGACAGCTGTGTATCAGACTTAGAAAAACTGGACTTGAATAGAGGTTTCAAACCAAAGCTAATGGCCTTACAGATTGGTTTAGAGAGGATGCTTCTTGGAGGAAGTTGAAGCATTCAAGGAGACTCTCTGATGGTTCAAGGTCAAGCAGCCGTGTCTAGAAGAGCAAAGATACCTGAATGGGATGGCACAGTCAGAGGACTAGGCAGCAAGGCTGTAGCTGTTGAATTAACGTAAAACAATGTAATTGTGTTTTGAATTGGATAAAGATAAAAGGGGAGGGAGATAAGCTGAAGAGAAGGAAGCCGCATTAAATTGGATCTGATTCTTTTAATTCCTGGATGAAAGCTTTAGCAGCAGAAGGGGCAGAAGTTGTACAAGAAGGATGCAAGCCTCGAGTTTGGGATTGCACAAAGGGAAATGAAGATGGGCGTTCAGGAGAAGGCAGAAGCAGAGCATGGCATTTGCAGATCAGGAGTTTCAGAACAGGCTTACGATGGAGTTGAGCCAGAGGAGCGTAATACAAGAAAAGGAGGTGAAACAGGGAATTGAAGGCAGAAATGTCTGGGAAGTGATGGTTGGTGGATTTATAAAAAAGTTATGTTTTTTTTCCAGCATTTGTTGAGGTTTTTCTCTAGCAGCCTCCTTTGTTTTTGTTGCTTTAGGTTTGTTGTTTTTCTTTGGGGGGGAAAGTGCATTCCTGTAACTATTGAGTGACTTCTCTACATGTATGTTTTACTATTAAATAATAAAAGAAATAGTCTATGTACTCATCCTACTTATCCTAGAAACCCAGAATGTAATTGCTTAAGAAACAAAATCGATGTGCTCACAGTTGCAGTTGTCCAAGATTGTTGGACTTCAGAGCAAAGCACAAAGCAAATATTGTAGGCTATTATATATTCAAGCCATTAATGTTTTAACATACATTATATAGTGGACATTGGAGAATTCACATGACTTTGGGTTTCTGCTTTTGATTCCATAGCATAATAGTGTCACTACCAGTACCCATGACACTCCTGTATTTCAATTTCTCTGTTCCCCAAAGGGGGCCTATTAGCAGCTGCACAGCACCTAATCTAAAGTGTGATCAAGAGTAGATATATCTGAGAATATGCTAGTATTATCATGAGTGCAATCCAGGATCTTAGCAGTGGACACTGAATTTACTGTTGCATAAGTAAGCCTATTAGAAGATGGATGTCCTTTATGGCAGGAGCATTCAGGGAAGGCTAAGCTAAGTTTTTTGGGTTTAAAAGGAAGTTCCTACTGCAGACATTGCTGAAGAACCTTTCAACTCCCTGCCTTGAGCTATATTTTGGTATTGTAAGAAACATATGGGAAATCAGAAGTTTCTTAATACTTTCCTGTAGTCAATTCTGTGCAGGAATTCTCCATTAAAATGTGGGAATGTGTAAACATTCCTGCCTGTCGCCTGTATTTGTTCTTCCACCTGTGAAGGAGAGCAAAACAAAGCACAAGGTATGCCTTTCCAAACTTGAGTTTGTATTCTACATCTGCACCTGATTTGGAGGACCTTTGCCTTAATAATTTTCAGTGGGTGAAATGTTCTGGTTGTGAAGATGAGATTAATTTTGCAGCTGGAAATTAGAGTACCAAACCTCTATGTGCCCTCACCCAACAGATGTGTTCCCTCAACCCTAAGTGTAACTTAATAGCGATCTTGCTCTCAGCTGGAGACTACCACTCAATACCAGCGCATAAGGGTACCAATTCTCCTTGAGGCCAGCGTTTTGTGGTCGTACTAAGAGGTCTGCACACACGACGTGAGGGACAGCATTGTTGTTCTTGTGGCTTTCATTGCATTATCTTTTTCTTTTTTTTTTTTTTTTTTTTGTATTTCTAGATGTTGATACTGAAATTTGGGAGATTTGCTGTGATTTTCAGTGTGGACAAGGTCCTGACTTAGTAAGCTACTATGGACGTAGGTTCACTCATATCTGCTGGCTGTGCAAACAATTCATAGTATAGCAACTTCTGTTTCACAGCATGTTTTTTGCTTGCTGGTTGCCAGTTGTCCTGAAGCTTCACTGGATTCCTTCTGAGTGAGTAGAAGGGGTTGTAGGGGGTGAGCCTGGTGTGAAAAGGCTCCAGGACTGACCTGTGTCTGGAAGTGTGTTGTTTGCAGTCCAGAGTGACTCAGTCATTTTCAGCAGTCTTTATTTGTCTTATGCAGTCTGCATTTCTGAACTATTTGTGAGCAATGATACAATTCCATACACCAGTTTGGAAGCATGGCTTACAGATTGCTTAAATAACTTCTTATTGCTAATAATCAATTGCAGGGAAGCTCTGCTCTGTCATGCTGAGCTCACATAGCTCTGCTTGCACTTGGAGCCGAAATCTTCATTACTTATTCATCTGTTGCCTAGTCTTTGCTATTGGATTCTCTGATGTCTTGGCCTCTTGCTCTAGTCTTTGTACAGGATATCCTGATTATTTGCAGGTGCTTCTGAAACTGCTGACTTTGTTTAAAACATTCACGCTTTCTGTTCTGATGCTGTCAACTTCTGTTGGCATTGTAAGTTCCTGTGTGCAGAAGCTCAAACAATCAGTAATTTTTTTGTTGTTAAAAAATGAGTTGTGACTGGTGAAGGGCTTATGAAACATCTCTAGATTTTGGGACTGATGGATGATGACTGTTGGAAAGAGAAGTGTCATGAGAAATTGCCCAATTTTAAAAATTCTTTTCTGCCCATTCAATCAAATTACTGCTGTCTCTTGGAGAAAGTTATGTATTTTCCACCAGCCTATCCCAAAAACAAGGGGGGAGGAGGCTAAACAGGACTGAGGCTATAGTGAGTAATAACATGCATTTGGTTTACTGCCACATTTGGTTTTCTTTCTACCTTGATGCCTCTTCTCCCTTTTTCCTTAAGGTTTATAAGGCATTAGCAAAACATGTGCTACTTGACTGTATGTTCAATGTATGCAGTTCTGCAATACTCATGTAAGGATAAGATACTCACCAACCTCGCAACATTTTATGAATGTGTGAACGACAGTTAAAATATTGGTGCTCTTGATGAAGGTCCTGCCTTCCTGAAGAGGAAAAAAAGTGCTGAAAGCCAAACATTGCTGTAGATCACTTCATGATGCAAGGGCATTGAGAGTGCCCTTTGATTTCTGATGTAGGAGGCAGTTTCTGATACACTTTTATAAAATATATATATTCATAGTGTGCTTTGGTATTTTATAGGCAAAGAATATTTCAAATTTCCAATTTATCCTTCACTGTAAGCTCATTTCAGGGGAAGTCTTTCTCTACTTGGTAATGAGATTTGTAATGACGGTAAATGCATACGTTCAAAAGAATCATTGTCGTGGTTTAAGCCCAGCCAGCAGTCAGTGTGTTATCAACATTATTCTCAGACTAAATCCAAAACATAACACTGTACCAGCTACTAGGAGGAAAATTAACTCTATCCCAGCCAAAACCAGGACAATCATCTGGAAAAAAACCCCTCTGGTAGCTGCTGCTTCAGAGTTCATGTTGCAGAAATACTGTATCAGGACTCAGGTGTATCAGGAGGTGTGATTAGAAGATATAGGTGTCTTTCTTTGAAAATCCTAGTCTGGGTAAAAGGGCTGCATGGGAAATCTTTGTTTTGTGTTATCTTCTCTTGCTTGTGCCTTAGCAGAGCTGAAAAGAGAGATGTTCCAAAAGCTATGACAATCTCATAAAGCAGGCTTATATACAGTCATGAATAATCTGAAAGGCTCAGATGTAACAATCCTTATAGAAAGTATTTTTCCTGACATTTGCTTCTTGCCATGGTTAGTGTAGTAATTGCAAAGTCTGATAGAAGACTCCTTGCCAGCTCTGGAAATCAATATATCTGTATTCACTCCTGATGGGCTGGGGTACCTGAGTGCAGGATTAAACTGAACAGTCTACCTGCACTGTTTCACTGAGGATACCTGTTTTGGGACCCCTGCTGTGGCTCATGAGGCAGAAGTGTGTCACATTCTAAGTATGTGATGATAAATTTTGTTGGGATTTACCCTAATTATGGAGCAACTACATATAGAGTTAACATTCATTCTAAAATGTTTGCCACAAGAGCATTATGGATGCATGTGTTTGTTACCCTGTCATGGTAGATCTAGTATTGCATTATTCTTCTGGTGCTCCAGGTCCCTTTTGTAGTCTTTCCTGTAATCATACCAGTCTTTAAGTGACTCAAGACTAACAACTTTCCTTAGGACTCTGCTTGTTAAAACGTTATTGCAGTTATTCAGTCAAACACTGCTTAAAGGTCAATCAAACTCTGTAAAACCTTCAAAGGCCTGATAAGGTTCAGCTCGAAATCATGGGTTCTTTTGGCTAACACTGACTCAGAGCTTTTCCCTCTTCAGGCAGCTCTGTTGAGGTTTGTGGTCCTGCCACTTGCTGTGGCCCTCTCCTACCACATTTCTCTCCCATAAGAGGATGGAGATCCTTGTCTGTGGCTCTGTGGGTTTGAGCCAAAGCTGCTTTTCCTCCTTGGTAGACTGCCCTTCTGCTCCAGGGGAGTTTAGCTCGCTGGGCTGTTAGGTGATTTGGTTGCCACTCCAGGCCCATGTCTGTTCTCTGAGTCTGGATAACTATAGATGTGTAGGGTGAAGTCCAGTATTATCAAAGGATCAAACCCACAGCTCTTGGACACAGGATTGTGGTGTCTTCCTACGTAGTATCTCTTTCTCACTCATGTACCAATATGGTTATTTTTCTTTGGTTACTAAATAATCTTTTTTCTTCAGTATTGTATTTTCTAGAAAATGTATTAATCAAAACTGCTACATTTAACATCTCCAGAAATCACTATGACTCCCATCATGCCTTTCTAGTTTTGACTTCTTTATTTTAAACTATGTTAAATTTGCTATGATTGTGGAAAACTTGCAGACAAGAAAGCCTTTTGAGCCCTTCTAGTCATCTTCTTCCCTTTGGCTTGCCAATGGCCTCCTGGGTAGTGTATGGACATGCTGTTCTGAGGAGATGTCTTTTGGAGTGCGTAAGGGATCACAGAGGCAGCAGCTCCCGCATTACTTGAAACGGCCCCCTCCACCGCTCATTCCCTCCCCTGGCGGGTGCTCAGGGGGCCGAGCCCACTGCCCGCGGTGGCCAGGGGGCTGGGGGGCCACAGGAGGAAAGTTGTGGTGCCTTTGCGGCAGCTGTGCTGACCCACAGCCAAGCACGGAACCATGTCTCTCTCCTCAGACAGAGGCATGTTCAGTGCAGAGGAGACCTTTGCACACAAAAGATTACATCTTTGACAGCTTTTTAATACTTCAGTGGGATGGCTGTGTGAGGGAAGGCTTCTGTTTTCAGAAACTTTATAGTGTGAATGTTGAGCAGCAAAGGTGGCTCAAGAGCTGCATGGGAGAGCTGAGGACACGGACAGGATGGGTTCTGCCAGGCTGTGGTGTGCACTTCCACAATGTGGGCTGGCTGGTAGGGTGAGTTCAAGTGGAAAGCCAATGTGACCTGAAATTAAAGACATGATTATGTAGAACTTAAAGAAAGTGGCAAATGATGTAGAGCTGTTAAACTGTTGAGTCACTAGGAGTCCAACTTGAATATTGGATTCAGTTAAAGAAAGTTAAGAAGCATGGCATTGCTGCTGGGCATTTGCCATTAGACAGTGAAATCTGGTGATTTCTGTGGTAATTCTACCAGCTCTGATTCGTCTGCCTACACCACATTCAATTTACAATCTCTCTTTTTTTTTTTCCCCCCAAATGAAATTAATGTTGCCAGACCAGAAAGGTGTAGCAAGTGACCATGCTTTAGAAAAAGTATATTCCAGAATATAATATTAATACAAGGTTTAGAAAAAGGTTGCGTGGGTAAATGTCTCTTAATGGTGCCTTGATTCTGTGAGTGTGATGTACATGAGCGTGGAGGCTACAGCCCTGACTTACAGCTCAAAATTTGCCCAGAAGAATAGCAGTGTGTAGGAACACGGTCTGTTCCAAAAGGTCTCCTTAGAATATTTCAGCCCCTGAAATTCTGTGGGAATGAAAAAAATCCATCAGCTCTTTCAGAAAACATATACAGTGAAAATGTTGATTCATTTTCATCTCCTAGACTGTGTCAGGAGGAAAAGGAGTTTTGAACTGTGCTTTTCTGTCCCTTTTCAACTTTAAATGGGACTTTGATACTTGAATGTAGAGGGTGAGTCATTTAAAAAGTATTATCTGTGGAGTTGATTGAGCAATGTATTGGCATGCCTCGGAGTCTGCAAGTTTTGTCAAGCTCTTAGCTCTTGTTGCTGACAGAATGTTAGTAAACTTTCTGCTGTTGCTGGAGAACCATTTATAGGAAAAGTTAGATATGTTGTTAGGCTCTAGGTGTCAAAGAGTGCTTGTTGCCTCCACTGGGAAGAGCTAATCTTTTGGTTAGCTTTCTTCTGCATACGTACTAAATGTAAGACCAGTTGAAAATGCTTGGAATATGTCATTGTGTTCCTGAAAAATGTTTTGGTCACTGATACTTGTATAAAGGAGAAAAGTTAGTGTGCACTCTTTCTGTTATAGAATCACAGAATGGTTTGAGCTGGAAGAATCATAGAATGGTTTGGGTTGGAAAGGAGCATCCAGTTCCAACCCCTTTGCCATGGGCAGACCACCTTCCACTAGACCAGGTTGCTCCAAGCCCTGTCCAACCTGGCCTTGAACACTGCCAGGGATGAGGCACCTACCACCTCTCTGGGCAACCTGTTCCAGGGCCTCACCTCCCTCATAGTGAAGAATTTCTTCCTAATACCTAATCTAAATCTACCCTCTTTCAGTGTAAAACCATTCCCCCTTGTCCTATGACAACATGCCATTGTAAAAAGTCCCTCTCCAGGTTTCTTGTAAGCCCCTTTTAGGTATTGGAAGACTGCTTTGTTTGTCATGTAAAGGTGGTGTTAATGGAGAGT